CTGTACGTAGTTTGGTATGGAGAATAATTTCATTGCTCATGTATCCCAAAGATCTTTAGGAATTAAAGGGGATGGAAATTCAAATTCTGCAAGTTCCAAAACATCATTTGCATTAATCCACAGAATTACACTGGTGTAAGATTCTCAGGTGTATATTTCTATTATTTTCCAAGGTTTGATTTTAAGTCAGTACTGAGACACATTTTACATAAACCAGACTTCGGGAGTCCAAATTATAATTAATCAATCCTGAATACAGTTTTTGGTAAGCTCTACACCATTACTTGGCTGGTGGAGTTTTGAATTTGGGCTTTGGGGTAGGTGTCAGGTTTGGCTGGTGGGGAAAAAGGGGTTGTTGCTGTTGGTTTGGTTTTTGGACTTTGGGTGTAATGACATTTCCTTTGATGGGGTTTTTGTATTTTTTGATTCACAGCCATATGTCTACAGATTTTATTGATAATTTTCCCTATTTTTTGATATATTTTTTTCTGTTTTAGAATTGTTCAAGTGGCAAAAGTTTAAACTGATATCCAAAAAGTCAGTCCATGCCTATCCTTTAACCTGAAGGTCTCAGTCCTACTTGACCATTCCTTCCAAGCAGTAGTTGCAGTGTCTCAAGCTACGAAACAGCCTACAAAAACCAAAACCAACATAAGGCTGAATAAAAGAAAGGCAATTAATGTCAAGATGATTGCACTAAACTCGCCTAAGAATTTAAGTTCCTATTATACAATTTAAACTAAAGATAGATGTACTGTATGAATCAGATCCACCAGCTGAATGCTAATTGATCTAAATCACCCCGTTATATTAATTTTGCACTGACATTTCCACAGTTGCAAGAAACTACCAAGATCCAGCACCCCATCCTAGTCAGGGAGATAAAATGCAATGCTGCATCTTTAAAAACAGGAATGCTCTGCTGACTGAAAAACCTGCTCTGAGAAAGCAGTGATTTGAGAGCCCCCAACACAATGAGGGATTTGTTGAAAGGAGCAGGCAGATGCAGACTCCAGCCTGCTTCAGACCAAGGCAGGCAGTGCTTGCATAACACTGAGAGCTCCAGCAGACAACTTACATAAGGAAAGTCTCAGGGAGCCTTAAACAAGCTTCTGGTCAGGAACAAACCCTTGTGGAAGGACTGAGAAATTAAGGGTATTTTCACCGTTCCTACATTTGTAATAAATAATATTGACAACTCAGGAAGAAATGAAGAATTATCAAAGCTCAGAATATTTTTTTTTTAAAGGGAGTCTCATCAAAAGGAACCTGAGAAAGCACAGACCATGCTGCACTTTCACACAAACAAATACTGCACTGATTTAAGAGCTTTACTGTATTACAACAGCATTCCCCAAAGCCTGTTTTCCAACACTCTAATTGCAGCAGCTGAAGTGAATATGTTCCTGGCACCTAAGCCTTGCTTTGCATCCCATATTTGAAGCCTGGCTTTGCCAGTGGGCTACGCTCTCGCATTCAGTATAGGACCCACTGAACACAGAGTGTTTACAAAAGAAAAAAAAAATAAATCAGGATTCAAATAATGCAGATGTCTTTTGACAGTCTAAGTGAAAAAAAAACAACACCTAAGAGAGAATTAAAATTAATTCGCAGGCCCCAGTAGTATTTGCTAAGTAAGTGAAGAGTATGAAATCTCTACAGCATCAAGGAGTCTCTCCAAATCTATATGACAACAGTAAAGCCCCCAGAAACCAGGCAAATTAGGAACAATACAGTCCTGTTTGCTACTGGATGTTTTCTTTTACACTTAATGGTGTTCTATCTCTTTGAAAGCAAGGAGTAGAACATTTTCTAAGTGCTAATTTTGCTTAAAACCTCATAATAGTTTCTGAAATTACTTACTGAGCTATTATTTTCCAAGCAATTTGAAGCACCAGTATTTCATCTAAAGTCAGTTTTGATAAAAGTCATGTATCCCAGATACTTCTAAGAGGCATAAAAAAATACTTGGATAAGATTATCATAATGACATAAAATAATGAAACATTCAATTAAGATATAGGAAGTAGTGAATTTTTAAAAAGTACTTTTAAAAAGCAACCAAAATATTCTTACACATCTTTTACAAACTCAGGAGGACACCAGTGCTGGTCATGTATTTGATGTTCACAGTGCAGCAAGACCTTAAGAATTGCAACAGCTCCATCAACATTCACAACTGTAAACTGGCAAAAAATTTCTTTACTGAGTATCTCACATGAATTAATTTGTTCAATGGAATTTTAGTGTGGGTCAAATGACTCAATGTGCAAAACATTTGGGCAGTAGAGACTGTCAATCACGCCTCGACTGTGAGCGCATCCCTTTGAAAGCAGCACTCACTGTGTGTGCTGACAGAATGAATCAAGTAACCTTTACATTAATTTTTCATTTAGCAAGCCTAAATGGCACTCCAAAGCAGTTGACAGTTGAGGAATCTGTACTGTCCAGATCCATAATCATACACACATTTTATATCTTCCCTTATTTAAGGATGCTTAATTCATAATCAGGAAATGTGGGCTCCTCTGGTAATATCAGAAGTCTCACCGCTTCTAAAAGTGGAATCTTGACTTTAAAATGACATGGATTCTGATCACCCAGAGCTCACAGTAAATACCAAACATATTCTTGATGCCTGGCTAGTGGGGAGGGAGGGGGTGGGATAAAAAGGCAGCTGTACTTAGAGCCCTCCTGTGCTATCACCACCTTAACTGTTGTGACAACCTCTGTCACTGACTTTGCATGTTCAAAATACTTGCAGACCTTGAAGTTGGGATGTTTCTATCCACACAAGCTTATGGAAAAAATATAATTTATAACCATACAAAAAAGTACATGCTAAAGTAATCTGTCATCCAGGCTCATTTGCCACAATCAACACCAGGATACAGCAAGCTTAAATGGACAGAGACATTTTGGAATTCTAAATAAAAGAAAAAACAACAAACATCTTATAAAAGCTACTGTAACCAGAAGGAAGAAAAAAAACTAACAATACAAGTGACAGAGGAATAAAAATGCTCTAAATACCTGCCAAACCTGCGTTTTTTTCTTTTCTTTTTCATTAAATAAGGAAATATAATATAAGCAAGAAAGAAAAACAAAATAGCTTTGAAAGAACACAAACTGTCCACCTTCAAAAACAGGAGCACAGACTGGTTAGTGAAACAGAAAGGATGCTGATGAAAAGGTAAAATGAATAGCTTCCAATTACCTACAATTATAATGACCAATAGGAAGCAATCTTGCTACTTCAGAGGGAAAAAATACATCCCAGGAGGGATGACAGCAGCATGTACTATGAGGAAGAGGAGGAGGATTAAGGATTCCACACTGACTCTTTATGGATTTTAGCATGATTTCCACACACGGTACATTCCACATTCTCCTAGCAAACGTTGGGCTCAGGACTGGGCAGGTTTCATTTCTAAAGCCATTTTTGCGCAGAAATGGCTGCACATGGAAGAGCTCCAAAGTTAAATAAAAATACTTGTTTGTTATGGCTCAATAAAAAAAAATAAAGCTTTTTAATAATACTTGATTACAAACTAATCAAGACTGAAAGCTCCATCTGCTTTATGAATTTAAGGTGTTCATAAAAACAGTAACAATGTAAGACTACATAGACTTTAAAGAATGTGAGCTGGAAGTATAATAAATATTGAGTACCCAGAATTTCATAATAAAATGAAAGTTTGCCCAACATATTGAAGCGAAGCCACCTAAAGGCCTTGAAAGGCAGTAAGAGACCGCAAATATTTTTGTTCCTAATAGCTCAGTATTTTCACTTAGTGAAATTCATGTTTTACAGTCCTGGGTATACAAATCTGAAAAGACAAGATCCTGAAGAACTCATATGTCTTTAGTAATTACTAAAGCCAGTTGCTTTCATTTTAAAGGATAGCACAAGCTTTTTATTTCAGCTGCTGCACGTACTGTTATATAATTTCACACATATATAAGCCTTTCGAAATAAATGCTAAAAGCTCAAGGAATAATTTCCTTCATAATCAGACAAAAAATAAAATTAGTGTTACTCAGAACTAAAAATCACGTCTACAAAAATTCAGCAGAAATTTAATATATGGGTTGAATTAGTGTGTTTGATCAGTGAATGTCTCAATGTTTTTGCATTTACATATTGCATTTTGAGAATCACTTGCGAAAAATGCCCCAAAATAGCAGTCTTAGTCTAACATATTCCTCTTAGTCTCTCATTTTTTTTGCAACTGTTGTAAAAATAAATTGTCCACAATACAGAAGTTTACTATAGGTTGCATATTTAAATTAAACAGAGTCCTTGATATATACCTAATACTCAAATCTGTTTTTTCATTACCCTCTGTCCCAATTATGTAGACTTATACCAATTTCTCAAGTTTTTGCTATACTTCACCACCTTATTACCCAGCTGTGCAGCTGAGCAAGAAGATAACCACATTCATTCCTCTTATCTGTAATGATGTAATACATCTCAGCAGTGGGTTGAGATGATTGGGGGAATAATGGCATTGTAAAAACTGCAGAGATGACAAACAACAGTGCAGCCGCCTTCTCCTGATACAGTGCATTGTGTACACAGAGCCCAGGGTGAAAATAATACAATGTGCACTAATTCTGCTCCTTGAATGAAGTTAACATCTTTCATAAGAAACAGCTGTTTCTGCACAGAAACATCATCATCATCATCACAATGCAGCAACCAGACTAAACACCCGCAACCTGGGCTGAAGCCTAGGCTACAAGAAATAAGTGTTGGAGTTTACTTTCCAATGGAAAAAAAAAAAAGTCATTCCAACAGAAAAATATCAGGTTAAGCAAGGACTCTACAGATAGTGCAGTGCAACGCAAAGAGTCATCAGGGACTAGTATGCAATACAAAAATAGATCTTGGACAAAAGCACACACAGCACTGCTTTCCTTTTCATTAAAAAAATTAAATCTGCCTCCATTTTCTCTGTTAAAACCTTCCTTATTACAACCAAAGAAATCCTTACCTTCTGTAGGAGCTGGGAACCTGAGTATTTGGCTGCAATAGATTTGATCTCTCCACCAAATGCTGAGGCCCAGAGCTTTACACTGTGAAGGGGAAAAAAAAAAAAAAAGAGACAGGAAGAAATGTAATACACATGTCAGAGCTAGCAACAGAGACTGTAACAGCTTCAGCTGCACTCGGAAGGATCCGAGCAATTTTGCATTAGACAGCTCACTAAGGAACCTAAGCACAGCAAAAGATCAGTGAAGCTGTACAAGTATATGCACAAACCAGACCCTGTGCTAAGGTAAGGCCCCTGATGTGAAACTACCAACCTGAACCATTAAAATTTTAGGAATTAGCTTGTACAGAAACCTGCTTTGGCACAACATGACATATATGCATTGAAAGGAAAATAGCAGATAAAATGGTAAAACAGTTCTGAATGATAAAGTCCCACATGAGAAAGTGTTAACAGCATCAATTTCAGTAAATGCAAGCACTTAAAACTCAGTGGCCACATACTCCACCAATACATGGTCCTACAATAAAATCAAAGTAGCGCCAAGCACCTTGGAGACAACCACTTTAAACACAGCTGACAGAGGAGCAAAGGTGCCCTGGAACAGCCAAATATCTGCAATACAAAAACAGGAGAACTTGAGCAGCCAAGTTCTCATCCTTGAGCATGGTCCTGAGAGGAATAGCATGAATGCACTTACACTGACAGGGGGATCTGCTGCTCCGATCCAACCACATCCACTAAGGCTGTGTTAAAAGCTGTCCAGAAGATAAAGAAAAAACCCCCAAAAGCCCGAAGAAGATTCAGGTTCTCTGGCATTGTGCCTCTCTGTGCCTGGAAAGGTTTGGGGAAATTCAAGTGAAGCTGAGTTCAGCAGCAGTGGGGGTTTGTTTCTAAAAGCTTCTTTTCCCCCACTCTTACCCCCTTCCACTAGAAGGGGACACTGGAACACTGGAAAAGAAAAATTCACATCTCCATCCTCATTCCTCCAAAGAATGACCCTTTCTGTGTAATGAAAGGAGCTGACCAGAATCGAAGCTCTAATGACTTGAAAACTATTGTGTCCCTGGTAACAGCAAAGCGTTTCCCAGCACTACTGCAGCCACTTGCATGTAGTTCTTTACAACTCCGCAGTCAGCAGTGTGCTGAAGTTACTTCAGTGACCTACTGCTGCTCCAAAGTGCCCTTAGCAGCAAGAAAGCAGACTATTGATTCCAGCTGGGGAGGCTGTCTTCTTGCAATTACTGCTCACTTTGCAAATGGAAAGCTGCCTAGAGTTCTCCTTTCCCTCGCCGATAACCTCCAGCCTTCATCCCAGATCAAGCCAGCCCGAGCACTGGTTCGGCGGAGCAGGAGCAGCAGCCTTTTAACGGGATAGCGCCGACACAGAGAGGCAGGCACAGGAGGAGCTGGACCAGAGGGAGGGTACGGCAAAAGCAGAGAAAGTCTGGAGGAGCTGAAAGTGCAGTTGAGCCCTTCCAGGAAGGCGAGAAGAGAGCGCTGCACATTGCCGGGGGCTGAGCTTGGGAGGGCTCGGCAGGGGCGGGGGCGTGGGGCCGTGCACACCCACCGGGGAGCGGTTCAGGCAGGGCACGGCGGCGTGACAAGCTCCTGTCTGTCACGCAGCCCGGAGAGGCGAAGGCTGCTCGGAGCTCAGCGCCGCGCGGTGCCCGGAGCATCCCGGCCGCGGCGCCGCACCGGGGCGGGCGCGGGCGGGCGGAGGCGGCGGAGCGGCGCTCCCTGCCCGGCCAGCATCGCCCAGGAGCGGCAGCGGCGGCTTCCCGGAGCGAGCCCCGGCTCTCGCTCCGGCTCGCACATTTAATCGAGTCCTAGGGAGCCTTTTATCCTTGTGCATAAAAGGCGCGTTTGCTGCTTCCTCCCACGCCGGAGCACTGCAGCAAGTCACTCTCCGAGAGCTCGGGACCAGTAAAGGCTTATGAATGAAAAGAAATGCAGCATAAGTAAATCAATGCGGGCTGACTCCAGCCTATGAATAAATTATTAATTTGTGCTCATAGAAGAATCCTCTTGATATAGCAAATATAGGATTACAAGCTCTTCCACTGAGAGCAGCATACGGAGCAGGAGGGATTGGTCCAGGTATTTTTGTTGTCGTTGCGTTTTAAAATATACCCTCCCTCCTTTTGCTTTTATTCTTCTCCCTCTGTTTTTTCTCCCACCTTCTTCTCCACTAAATGTGCAGACTTAAAATAGCAACTGAACTTTAATGTAAACAAGTATGGCAAGACCATGATCTGAGCACGGGCTGAGTCATCCTTGCATCCTACAATATAGCTCCAGTGTCCGCTCCAGAATTCTAGTTTCTTCCCTCTGTAGATAGAACTAACACCTCAAAATATTCTGCCTTTGTACACTGTCCTTATCTTAACATTTTCTGTCTTGAAGCTCGAGATGTAGTACCTGTATTTCTTTCCACATTAACATCTCTAAGAGCACTGAATCAAAATATTCTCTCTGCCTTTGTACACTGTCCTTATCTTAACATTTTCTCTCTTGAAGCTCGAGATGCAGTACCTGTATTTCTTTTCACATTAACATCTCTAAGAGTTTGCTTTAAATATCAAAACCTCTATTCAATTTCCAGCTGACAAAAGCTTCCTGCTTTCTCAGAAGAAATGAGAAGTTTAAAGATAGAAAGACTAACAGGGGAACTGTGCAGAAGAGAGCAGCACAGCACCCTGCAACTTTCACCACCCACCAGCCATCCCCACCACGAACAGTAAATAGATCACATTTCCCTCTGTTCTAATACCTTTGTATAAAGGCAATAAAGAAAAAATTCTTAAAAGGAACATTTATTTTGTGTATTACTGAACCATTTTGAAAGTCCTGTTATCTGTGCTGTTACTGTGGATTTCCGAAGCAGTGTTTAAAACATGGTGCCATGTCACCAGGTGTTCAGCTTACCTACAGGCAGAAATGTAAAAATGCACATGGCTGACTAACAGTATATAATCAATTATGTGCTCCTTTGAACATATTACATAAACAATAGTTTCTTTCCAAAGCCTGAAAAGAAACAGAAATCGGTGAATGTCTCAATACTTGTGCTGTTTACTTCTTTTTACATGCTGAACGCTGTCAGGCAGTAAATACATAAGCTCATTTTGTGAGATTCAAACAGTTCTTATGTTAACAAAGATCCTTATCTGCTTCAAGCCAATACAGTGCCCTTATGGCAAGTAACAGTTACCTTGATTTTTGAAAACACTACTGGAAGATTTTTGAAAGCACATAAAATGCCTGTGTTCAAGAGACCAGCAAAATTTAACAGAGATTTAACCCATCACTAATTATTGGCAATAAAAGATGATAAAGTCATTTTTCAAACCTTGACTCTGTTTACATTTATCATGCATTCAATACTATATCAGACGTACAGTTTATGTGTCGTGCAAAACTGGACACTCACACTTGTTTAATACAAAAATTGTATTTGTACTATTGCTAGTCTAAGATTAAATTCACTTGGAAAATAATTTTCTGCTTGACAGAACAAGCTTCTTTTGTGTTAACACTTGTGTACACTATACCTCAGAGTGATTTCAGCACCTTTCATTAATGCACACTGGGTTTGTCCATGCAGGAAATCAGCTCCTCCCGACCATTCAGTGAATGGAAAGCAAACCTGAACCAGAACAGCCACAAACCACCACAGGTGACACCACAGCCTGTCTGCAGCTGTGTCCTGGCCTGACCACTGCTGACTATTCCTGGTATGCAGATCACTGCAGTCGTGACACCAGATTCAAAATTCATGTCAGCATTTCTCCCATGTTGCTCCCATCAGGATGCAGAAACTTTCCCTAAGTGGGTTTGCATAACGAAGGACCAAGAAAAGCACAGGAAAAAGAAGTGGTAACTTCTGGTGGAAAGTTTCAGTCCTTTTTACTGGGGATAGAGCAATGTGTTTCATTATTTGCTCCAGTCTTCTGATGTCCTGGAGCAAAGGCAGCAGAAAGCCCAGTTTCCAAGCATAGTAATGAATTTCTGTTTTGGAAGTAATGTGGCATTTCTATCATGTCCTTATGCTGTTATAAACAACTGCTGAATCTGGAATAATTTCTGGTCCCACTAGAAAAGTGTATGCATAACTGACCAGAGAAGGAAAGCACTTATGCATATAGCAAATACACATTCAGAAACCAAAGTGCATCTCTGCAGAAAGTTCAGGTAACCTCCTTACATGCCACTGGTCTCTGAAGTAGAGCTCCTCATACAAGTATATTAAGGTGCATCTCCCTGCTCCTGGCCTCTCATTTTTAAAGGATAAAAAATTGCAACTAATTTTCTGCTGTGTCCTTGATGATCAAGCACAATGGTTCATTTTGGTATCTCACAGAAAATGAAAGAAGCTCTTTTCCCCATGAAAGCAGAAATAAAACTTGGATATGTGACTCAAATGTTGTAATGGAAAGTCATAGACAAGGGTAGAGAAACTCTATGAATCCCCAAAGGTTTTTCACAGGACCACATTCAAGAAAATAACCAAGGGATTGGAGGAAAACCAAAAAACAATCAAACTAACCCACAAAGAAACAATCAAAACATCCAGGTCAAGGGGTAATGTGAGATATGACACAAAGGCTGAAGCAGAGACTACAGACTAAGGCAAAGTCCCATATATAAATACACATAATAGCTACCTGATTAATTAATCCCATTGTTCTTTTCTTTTACCTCCAGGTATATTTACACTTATGAAAGGGTACAGAAACAGGGTCACAACTGCATCATCAGCACGTTCTTTGAGGTCTCTGATTAGACACGTATCAAACCCTAATAAAAGTCAATGGAGAGCCATACAGAGGAGAGAACATATGGTGCAGGGGAGAAGGGTAGGAGGAAATTATATAATTAACACAAATGTTTATTGTATTTCTTTTTTCAGATGCTTATCTACAATGAGTTCTAAACAGAAGTAATAAATGCAGAAGCCTGAAGTTCTAAAAGCCTTGCTGAAGATGTAAGACACCTCCACTAGAAATTAATATTTTAAAAAGAATACAAGAAAGGAAATAAGCCAGTTTATCTTTATTCTGTATATTAGAAGATTCAGATACTGAAAAAATAGTAAAGCTGTAACTACTCTGCATGACATGGTATTAATACTTGCTTTGTACTACATTCCTCTGCACTTCTAAAGAGTAAGATTATAATCCTCAAATGTGTTCTCCATAGTGATTTTTTTTTATTTAACAGACTAAATTATCCATTCTTATTCTTGTTTGAAATACTTAATTTCAAAAAACATCCCTTAAATAAAAGCAGTGGAAGAATAAAGAGGGAAAAAGTGAAAGAATATAGAGTCAACTCATACAGTAAACAATTATAATACCATGGTGAAAATCCTTCCCACCTTTAACAAGTCTATGAAACTTTTCTCTTACTTCTGTGTAAGTAAGAGAAAAGTTTCCACTCACTCATGGAAAACAGAAGCAGGAGAAGTACAAAAGTTATCTCAGCTTTGCAAAACTTGTGGCTGCCAGATAAAAGACAAAATCTGAAGGTTCTGAATTTATTATTTCGAAGCAGCCCAGTGGTGGAAGCACTCATTGAGTAGTGTTTGCCTGCTGTGAGAACACAGGCTTGCTTGTTCTGAGTGATCCGAACATCTGAGGAAGAGCAGGAGGCTGCACGTGAAGCCTACTCTGGAGCTTCTAGGAAATCACATTACACACAGAAAGTGTATTCCTAGACTTTTATGGAGGTCTCATGTGTATAAATCTAAGTGTTCCATTGGTGTGGGAATGCCAAGTTATTGACCAATTCCAACCCACTTACAGCAAAGACTGAGGTCAAGCAGCATTCAAATGAGCACAGCTTCACATCATGGGCATGAGCTCGTGTTTTGGAGAAAGAAAAATCCTGCAGAAATTCTGAACCACATCAGTATTTCTTATATGCAACTTTACAATATTATCACTTTGTGCATATTGTTCAGGTCAAATCAAGCACTAGTATTTCATCCATGAGAGCATTAAGAGCATGCAAAACCAACGTTTACATAAAATCAATCATTTACACAACTAGAAATACAAATCTCTAAAGATTTTTTAAAATGCTAATATACAGTCCTAATTAGCATGTTGGTAGTACAGCATTTTAGGTTACTGTCACGTTATCTTTAGCACACTTCCACACCCAATAAAGCTCACAGTTTGCCACAACCCCCCAAGGAACGTGTGGTTAATTTCGCTTCCACAAAGCCTAAGATCAGCTGGCTTTTGAATCTCCACAAGGAGTTAAAATGCAAAAGAGCAAAGCATTATCAATCCCAGCCTATGAGAGCTCACACTGCATGGCAAGCTAGAATGCTTTAAGCTAATTATGTTTATAGCTACCCAAATCCAATTTCAGCAGTCCACTGTAGCTCTAGTCTGTTACTGCCATTTTACATAAGCTTCATTTATTTTGAATTTTCGACTATTAAGACAAAGTCTGCCTTTGCTTTCTTTCAAGTGTTTCACGCTGGGAAATGAACCCTTCTCTAAGCAAATAAACTATCTTTTTACTTCCAAAGCTGGTGTTAGGTTGTAAATGTTAATGCTTTCAATGAATTCGAAATACCTGCAAACTGAAGATAGGACTTAAAAATGAGAAACTGTAATTAAGAGCTCTGATATAATGGATAGAATGCTATGGAAACAAACCTATCTAGCATTCTTTCTCCGACAATTAAAAAAAAAAAAAGACTAGAGGTCACAGCATATTTAAGTGTGAATCTATTACTGTCTATGCTCTAGAATGAACCCCTGGTCGTGTCTGTAATGGCCTGTGAATGTTCCCCCCCAAA